AGCAGGAAAGCTTGTTTTTTCTTTTCCGAATTATGAACCAACAGGAAAATGAAGGTGAAGATGACTGAGTTAGCTGCAGAAGCCAATATTTTAAGTTTCTCATGTTGACCTGTCTGACATAGCCAATTTAATTTTTTTAATATTTCATTTAACTATTTTAGTTAAAAACAATTTTAACAAAAACAAACTTGATTTTTCAAAAATCCATATGCTTGTTTTGTAAAATATTATGTTTGCTGTTGAAGAAAAAATCCAAATGCATAACTTTGTTGTTTTAGTTAAATAAAACAATGTAAATGTCTGTCTGGTGATGTTCTCCTCCTAATACAGCATGGCAAGAAAATCCTCCAAATATTAATGATTAACCTGTTGAATTGGAGATAGTTCACCTCCCAATGAGTTCATAAATATCTGCTTCAATTACCTTTTGGTAAATGAAATAACCAAACAATCATTCATTTTCTGATATAGCTGTAAAACTATTCTGAAAAGTTTTCAAAATAAATCACTTTAAACATGTAGAGTGTGTACCTTCTAAAAATGAAACCTACATCTCTGAGTTGTGAAGAATATGTATTAACAACCAACAAGAATGCACTTTTATGTAGAAATCCATGATTAAATCGAGTCTTCCTCACTAGTGATTCAAATCCACCCTGGTTTTAATTTTCAGTGTGTACTTAATTACTGCTCCTCCTTCAGTTGCTCAGCATTATATACATAATTGTAACAGTGGTAAGAATTATTATTAGTGGTGGTAGGAAATATTTATATTATGGCACACCCAATGGTCCCTGTTAGGGAAGGTGACTATTTCTGATTTGGAAATGAGAAAATGGAACCAACCCGTCTGGTTTCACTGTGTGAAGGGCAAAAAGTAAACAGAATTTAAACATTCTTTAGATTTCATGATATGATGGTGATGTCAGTAAAATTAGGGCAGGTAAAGGTTTGGAACTGTATTCTAAGGAACAGAGTAAATTAGTCACACCAGCTGAGTCATAGCCTCTCCACTGCAGAGGCTGGTGGTGGTTTTGTGATCTGAACAAACAAGTAATGTGTACAAGTCTGAAACCACCGATCTGTTTTGCTTAGAGCCTCAAGTTAGGCCTTTGATGATTATTATATTTTATTTAATACTGTAGTGCTCAGTGCTGTACTATATTTGGAGGAAGACGGCATCTTGGTGTTACAATCTAAATTAGGTAGTGCAGTTCAGATATTGACTTTCAAGAAAAATAGATACTCTATTCACCAGCCCCCTTTTGTATGTCTGTTTGCGTATGTAGCATTTTTATTTATCATGTACTGTATATAGCTGAAAGTGTGCTGGGTAGTATATGGTAAATGGTCTCTGCCAGTCAAGACAAGACAGAACATATACAGCGTGGTATGACTATTGTTTCATGAAATTTTGAGTGTTTTTCCATCGTTATGGTACAGACAAAAGGGTGATGATTATTAAATCATATTATATACAGTGTTTTAGATGCAGCAAAGTAAGAGTGTGCGTTGTCATTTCCTTTTGGTTAAAGAGTGGCTTCACAAACCACAGTATATTGACCATTCTTAATTTAGTAGGGCTTGGCTTATGAGGAACAGGCTAGCTGTAAGTCCTTCGTTAATGTGAATAAGACACAAAGTGAACATACATTGTATAGCAGGGGTTGGCAACCTACAGCACGCTTGCCAAACATGGCACGTGAGCCGATTCTGAGTGGCACGCTGCCTGCCCGGTGAGAGGAGGGGGCGGAGGGGCCGGAAAGCGCCACGCTGGGGGAAGAAGGGGTAGGAGAGAAGCTTGGCCTGCGGCAGCCAAGCTCCCCCCCTCCCCCGTTTTTTTCCCACACCGTGGGGCATTCCGGCCCCTCCTCCTCCTCCTCCT